CTTTGGTTATATACCCAGAAGTGGAATTACTTGATTATATGGTAATTCTGTTTTTCATTTTTTGAGGCTACTCTGAATGGTGTTCCATAACAGCTGTGCCATTATACCTTCCCACCAAGGGCACGAGGGTTCGGATTTCTCTACATCCTCACCCCCATTAGTATTTTCTGTTCTTTTAATCGTAGGCATCACAGTAGATGTGAGGGACTTGAACAGCCATTTCCCCATGTCCATGTCCCCAATGTGGATGGGCGCCATCTGATCCATCGAGGGCCTGAATAGAACAAAAAGGCAGAGGAAGGTTGGAACCGCTCTCCCTCGGCCTGTCTGCTTGAGCTGGGACACTGATCCTCCTCTGCCCTGGGTGCGCCTGGTCCCCAAGCCTTCAGATTTGGACTAGAATCTACACCATTGAACCCCCCAGCTCTCGGGCCTTCGAACCACACCATCAGTCTGTGGGGCTTCCAGCCTGTGGATAACAGACGATAGGACTTCTCAGCCTCCATGATCACATGAGCCAATATCTTATAATAAGTCTCTAGATATTGCTATATCTATCTGTCTGTTTCCTACCCATCCAGCTATATCTCCTATTGGTTTTGTTTTTCTGGAGAACCCTGACTAATATAAAGGTCAAGGTCAAGAAGAACATAGGGGTCAGGGATGGGGTAACATTTTGTTTGAATGCAATTTTCCATTAATAATTTTAAGTATATAAGAACATCTATAATTTCACTAATTAAATTTTCCACCTGTGCATGTGCAAATCCACCATAAACGAAGTTTATGGCTGAGTTAAGGCACATGGGGAATATAATTTAATCAAGAGAGGAGGGAGGAGGATCTGGGGGGTATTTCCGGAAGAAAGGGGGGCTCTGGGCATCAGGCTGAGCAGGTGTGAGGCTGAAGATGACGGGGAAGATGTGAAGGGGAGAGACGCAGGGGTATGGGCCAGATGTCCCCAGGAGGCTGAGCCATCATTGCTCACTGGGCTCCTGTGTGTCCAGCCGGAAGGTCAGCCAGTTCGGAAGAGGAGCTGGTTGCTTCGGATGAGTGAGGCGGTTTGAAGTGATGGCCACTCACTCATTCATTCAAAATACCCTAGTGCTTAAAATGCCAGGCATTGTTTCCAGAAGCTTAAGATAAGCAAACCAAACAAAGGCGTGGGGCCTCTCCTGTCTGCTGTCCCATCCCCGCACCCTCCACCCGGCTGAAGGAGCCTTTCTGAGCCCCCGCCTCTGTAGGGGTCTGTGCCCCTTGTAGTCCTGGCCTGTGGTGTCTGAACGGCAGCTCTTTCAGGCAAAGGATGAGGTTGACCCCCCCCCCAGAAGCTGACTGGGGCCAGAGAAGTGGCTCCATGGGACCCACAGAGAAACACCAGCCCTGACCAACCCTGTCCATCTCTCCCTGCCTTGTCAGCACCACTGGGAAGATGAGACCCCAGCTCATTGGCTATTCAGCAGCCTTTGACAGGGGTTGACCTTGGCAAAATATCAGTCTGACTTGCAAATAGCCCAAAACACAATACCCAAGGGAAAGCCTTTGAAAAAGACATCTGTGTTACATGTGGGAAGTCAGATTTCTCCAAGATACAGAGGCTGAGCAAAGCTCTTAAAAATATTTATATCAGAAACCACTAGAACACACACAAGCCTGACACATGCCCGGGGGGGGGGGGTGCTCAGGTTGCGCAGGCCGCTCTGTCTGGCCTGCCCTTTCATGCACCCCAGAGGTCCTCTCCTAGGATCGGCCACCACCTGGGTCATATAGGTAGCGCCTTCAACTGAAGCAAAATCTCAATTTTATTTTATTTTATTTTTTAAAGATTTTATTTATT